GAATTTTGTACGCTGTGATGGGTAGTTTCTGTAGGCCGCACCTGAGTAGTAAAGGTGAGCGGCTACAGTGTATTTTGCACTTTAAGTGCATCTCTCAAACTCTTGGTGCCTTGTCAGTTGTGCCCTTGGAATGGGATACTTTTGGGGAACAGCAACAGGAAGACATGATGTCCAAGGGCTGAGTCTGAAAATGGTGAGCTTCTAAGGCCTGAACCTTCCCTTTCCTCTCAACATAAAACACCCACTGGGACAGTGCTATTCTCACCAGGTCAGTTTTCATTGACTGGTCTCTGCCAGGGTACATCAACACAGCTGTGTTATTCCGAAATAACATAGTTTGCGTCTACACTACAAGCAGTTATTTTGACAGAATGTGGAGCTGGAGGACTTCTTACTCCAACTCCTGTAGCCCTCGTTGCACGAGGAATAAGGGAAGTCAGAGAAAGAGTGCTCTTTCTTGGACTTCCTGCTGTGTAGACAGCGCCAAAAACTGAAATAAGCTATTTTGACCTAGGCCATGCAATTGACGAAGCTGAAGTTGTGTCGCTTGTTTCGGCTTTAGCCCTGCTGTGTAGACGTGCCCCCATGAGCAGGCACAACTGGCTCACTGGAAAAGTTTGTAGATTAACATCGATTTCCTTATCAGCATCCAGTCTTGATTTGAAGCCATGAAGAAATCGAAAGTCCACTACATCCCGGGTAGTTAATCATCCACAAGGTTTAAAAAAGTCTTACTAATTGGAATGTTTCTAGCTTTAACTTTCAGCCATTGATTCTTGTTAGCCATTTTCGAGCTAGATTAAAGAGCTGTGCGGCACCCATATTTTTCTCCTTTGGAAGGTGCTTATACAAAGTGTTCACGCCACCTGGTCTTTCTTTTTTATAAACTAAACCAGACCTGGGCAAAATACAGCCCAGGGGCCAGATCCGGCCCGCTAAGCCACCAGATCTGGCCCGCGGAACTCCCTGCCGGGACCCTCTGGCTCAGAGCTGCTGTTGTTTAAAACCCAGTCTCTGTGTGTGTCTGCTGTGCAGGGAGGGAGAGGCTTTGTGCGATCTCCCCACCCCCAGCCCAATACTCAGCTCCTATTGGCTCAGTTGGAGTTGAGTGACAGAGGCAATGCAAGCCTCTTCCCCTATGCTGACTTGTGAGCCACATGGAGGGAGGAGGCTGCATTTTGCAGTGGGCTGGGGCTGCAGCAGACAGGGAGCGCAGCTTGGCTCGGGGGTACTGCAGTCTGCTGGCCAGGAGACACCACGTAAACTCCTCCCAGCCAGCGCCTGCCTCTGGCAGCCCATCCCCTCCTGCACTCCAGCTCCCTCCCCCAGGTCACCATCCAAACCCTCTGTGCCTCCCTGCCCCGGGTCACACCTCCCTCCCAGGCCTGTACCCCCTCTAAAACCCTTCCCCCAGGCCAGAATCCTCTCCTGCACCCATACTCCCACCCTGACCCAGCTCTCAACCCCCTCCTCCACCCAAGCACCCACTCAGACCCCACACCCTCTCCTGCACCACGGTCCCTTACCTCGGGCGCCCTTCTGCACCCAACTTTGACCCCGCACCCTCTCCACATAAGAGTGTGGCTCTTGACCACTTACCAAAATCTTGGAGTGGCCCCCCACCAAAAATTATTGCCCACCCCTGAACTTAACAGATCAAGCTCTTTAAGACTCTCATTGTGAGACATTTTTTCCAACTTCTTTGGGATTTTTCTGTGAATCCTCTCCAATTTTCAACATCCTTTTAAAAACCTTCACCCCAGAAATGGACACAGTATTCCCAGTACTAGTCTCAGCAAAACTCTTGATGACTCCCTGCTTTCTATGTCCAAGAATCACGTTAGTCCTCTTTGCCACCACATCTGTTGTGGGCGCTTAACCTGGGTCAGAGTTAGTGCTTTCCGGGTTATGGTTTCCTGTTCTCTGGGTATGGCTTGTGTTCTTTCTAGATGTATGACTTTTGCAGTCAGCAACACTTTTTTAATGGTCCCAGCTTACTAAGCGATCTAGGCTTGTTCTGTATGACTGCCCTGTCTGTATTACTGTTTACCACTCCCCAACCTTGGTGTCATCTGCAAATTTCATCTGCAGAGCTATTAATTCCTAAACTTAGGAAATCTGGGTGTCAGTTTCTCATGCTTGGATTTAGGAAAAGGGTACAAAATAATTTGGTTTTTGAATGTTGCTGCTGCTCCCCCACCTAGATAAAAGATGTTTTTGGAAGCTGTGTCTTGCCAACTCAGTGAGGAGGGGAAGAATATTAAGTACAGCTAGAGCCATGGGCTTCACTATAGCAAATACAAAGTGATAAAATGTGCCTCAGCTCTGTTATAGCCGTACTTTGGCTCCGCTCTCCCAAACTCTGGGGGAACGGACTTAAAAAGGAATGCAGGCTGTATTCAGCACTGCATTTGTAGAACACACAATCCATGTGCTACAATCTCCTGCAAACTAATTTTGAAATCATTGGCTGCATTGTCGATTGCTAAACTTCTTACCCTGAGTTACTGTGAAGATTTACTTGCTTGAGAGAGAGTCAGTGTGTAAATATTTCATTATTTGCAGAGATTTGATTTGATTTCTGACACCTCAAACACCAAACTTTGAGAATCCTTGGTATTGCAGTTTCCCTCAGTCTCCCGGGAGAGGAGACGTGTGGGCAATAGATTACTGCTTGGAAGGCTGTCATGCTAGGGATTGATCAGTGCCCCTTTTTCTCCGTTCGAAAATACCATAAAATTGGAAATTCGGTTCCTCAGCACATTTAAGATGACACCGTGATGTAGATTCCCCATGTGTATCGCAGACAAGAGCCTCCTTTTTGTGGAGGTGGGACTGAACTTCATATCCCAAAGCTGGAGGACCAGAGGTTGTGAATGCTAGCCAAGTGTATTGATGCCACTAACCCACATAGACCAGAGAACGGCTTGCAGCTTCAGTAGTATTAGCTGCTGTTTGATCATCCTCTCCATATGATATCAGCAATGCTTCTGGCCCTCTCGGGAAAGGGACTTTACTCTTCTCAGAGAATAGTAAATATCACGGACAGAAGATTTTGTACTGAATATTTTACTTTGGAGGCAAGAAGCAAATAGCTACGGCTGCCATGATTCAGATGGTTGTGCACGACACCTTGAGATAATTTGTACCCTAACAGTCTGCATTTGGCTTAATTAGAACAGGCAGAATGACTCCTGAAAGACAGCAGAGCTCAAATGCAGACGAAGTGGCGGTAAAAGTCATTGCCTCAGCTTGTGGTGTGGTTTTGTATGGTACTCTAGGGCTCCAAAATACATGCTTTCAGCAGCAGTTTGATGATGGTTTATTTACAAGGAGTGTCTCAAGGTGACCTTTGCAGTGCATCTGAAAATCTTGAGGGGGAGAAGTTTTTCGGATGAAAATGATTTGAAAATCTCTTGCTCCGTAGCTCTGATATTGATGAAGAGCATGTCTCTTGCACAATCAAGTCTTTGTGCAATACATGTATTGATATCTTACATAGTAGTGCTGATCTTGGCGGTCCAGTGTGTACCATTGTTGCTTTCCAAGGATTGCTGGCCTATTTTCAGAAAGCCTTGGGTTACAGAAGCACCTTCTGTTGGCATAAGAAGCTTCCTAGTGAGTTAAATATTTACCTGACAAATTTTTCAGATAGTTAATTATGGTGGCACTCAAAGGCTATGGTGATGGATAGGTAAGAAATATATAGACAGGTGTGCATCATATTCATCTGAGGCACATTTCCAAGAACACAGAGGGAGGAAAAATTTGGTATACTTGTAAGAAACAGAAAAATCTGCCCCTCACAAGTGAACATGAATGACCTCCTGTCACTCTAACGTACTGAAATTGCTGCGTGGCTTGAAGTGAAAGAAGACTCTTACTAGGTCTTACCACTTCCTGGGTAGACAATGCCTTTGTGTAGTGCCTTTACAACGGTAGAGAGTGGTGAAGTAAATCGTTTCCCTCACAAACCTTTAACAGGATGGCCCCATTTTCCATCCCAGCATGCTCTGTTATGATTGTGTCTGCCCAAAACATTGTGTTTTCTGACTAAATCTTTCTGTGTCCGTGGACCGTGAGCAGAGAAGTTCTTATCCAGCGCATGAGTTCAAAGTTTGTATTGTTAATCATGTTTATTATTAAATATTTAAAGAGAAGCATTGGGGTGGTGAAATAAGTGAAGTCACATGGGAGATCTGGTTTGAAGGACAGAAATCTTCCCTGCAGTGTCCCTCCAGAGACACCTCAGCTTATTGCTCATTATCTCCCGATTGTGGTCCTCCATTCAAAATTTAAATCATGAAGATAATTCAGATATTACTGCTTTTTTGATAGAATGAAATTTGTCTCACAATATCCATTCTTCATAAGACCATTTGATTTGTGATTCCATTATCCCCTTCATATTTGTTAGTTAGATTTGCAGGCTGATAATATTTGGGATCATGTTTCCTTCCTTTTTATGAAGGTCAGTACTATGATTTGCTTACCCCCAATTCCCACTACTTCCCCGCTTGCAGCACCCCTCCCCTCCCTGATATTCAGCGGCATGGCAAGTTTGCAAGCAAATGCCCTTAGTGCTGGAGAAGGCATAGCATCCAGATTTGTACATACTCTGATTGTTAAAATATTCTATTATGTGCACGTTGTCAATTGGTTTATTATTTAAGGCTCACCTTAATTATTCAAACTTTTCCATTTAGCTGTTGTTAAAGGAGTTTATAATCTCAGTCATTTAAATCCTCCATTAATTTGGATAGTTCAGGTGATGGAAGAGCAGAAAGCAGCATACTGGAGTAGGGAAAAATATGAGGTAAACCTAGAACGTGGAAGAAGGTTCCTACCAAAGCACAGAAATTGAGGAGGGGCATAGAAGAAACTTCTATTGGTAAAATTAGAGAAACAGTGCAGTAACACCTGTGGCTTGGGATATGGCCTAAGTACATGCACATGTATACGTTTTAATAACGTACGTAATAAAAATGTCTCTCTTGTAGGATCCCTGGCAGACTGAATGACAGGAGAACTCCTCTGGGAGAACTGAATTGGATCTTCACAGCAATCACAGACACCATTGCATGGAACGTCCTGCCCAGAGGTAGGACTGCTTGGCAGTTAACAGTCCACCAGACAGTAGTGTTGATGCCCAGGAAAAGGAAAACCAACAGGTTCATTTTCTAGGTGGCAAGAGGGGCTAGTAGCCAGAAAGCTGGGTGAATAACTGATTGTTTCATTTCCTGGCCATTGTGTAAAATTGGGAGGGAGGAAAAAAAACAGTCCCGGTCAAACTAAAATAAAGTTTTGGGTCGAAGAAAATGTGTAGTTTAACCAGAAGTGTTTTATTTTTGGGCATTCATAAAGAGCTAGAGTCATTTAACTTAGATCTTTCACCTTCTACACGAGGGCCCTAGCCACCACACTATAGGGGCGTGTCTCTGAATCTCTTCTGTTGAAGCAATTCTGCTTTGTGTAAAATACTTGGGGCATGTTTACACTAGGAAACTATTTCAAAATAACTAAAATCAATGTAATAACTCCTGATATAACAAAATTGAAATAGCATGTCCATACTATGAGGAAGCCTCGAAATTGGTCCTGCCTCAAGGCAGGCTGCGTTAATATGGATGTGCTACCTCAACTCAGAGCCTCAGGAAGCACTGGGGAGTAATTAGTTCAGATTACTCCAGAAAGTGGTTATTTTGAAATAGTGGCCGGAGCATCCACACTACCGCTATTTTGAAATAACTGTTTCGAAAATAACGTCATTCATCGACAAAAGTGGGAGAACAGATTTTGAAATAAGCAGCCTGTTATTTTGAAATAATGAGCTTGGTAGTGTGGACGTGTAACTTATTCATTCTACCGGGGTGCTGTGCCGATCAGCTGTTTGGCGGCACAGAGGGGCAGTCTGGACGCTCCGCGGTCGACAACGGAAGCCTTTGTCGACCACTCCGGGAAACCTCATTCCACGAGTCATAATGGAGCGGTTGACACAGGCTTCCCTTGTCAACCGCGGCGCGTCCAGACTGCCCTGCAGTGATGCCAAACAGCTGATTGGCACAGCGCGGCGACCATTTTGATGTAAATGAAGCAGCAGTTATTTAAATCGCCACTTCATTTTCCTATGTCTAGTAAACTCATCTACATGGCTCTGTCGGCGGAGCTATGTAGTCTAGACATACCCTGAGAGTACAAAGTGGAAGCAAAACTATTTCTGGATGTCTTGGGCTTTTCTTTTTATGGGATTTGTTTCTTTTTTGGAAAAGATTAATTGCCCCACTTTTTCGTGTGTATCTGCTGGTGCAAAATGCTTCTTCCAGATCACTGAGAGTACTCGTATTCCACACACATTCTTTCTCTGTAGATCTCTTCCAGAAGCTCTTCAGGCAGGACCTGCTGGTGGCTAGCTTATTTCGTAACTTCCTGTTGGCAGAAAGGATTATGAGGTCTTACAACTGTACCCCTGTCAGCAGCCCACGTCTACCTCCAACCTATATGCACGCAATGTGGTAAGTCACTGTGTACCTCTGCTGCTGCCAGGCAAAGTTGTTACCCCCTGAATCTGTACAGCACTTTCCTGATGGAATCAGTGGATCAGAAATGGAAGTGCATGTGGCAACGTAATGCTAATCTCCAGGTGTATCTTCTCCCTGTCTGCCTGGCACCCCATAATGTAATTCAGATACCATTCCCAGATACAAAAGCACCGCTTCAGCTAAGTAACATTTCAGCCCAAGTAGAGAAGCAAGGGAGCAGTAGCTACCTTTCTGTTGTACTGGGATAAAGCGAGTCACTTGAGATTGTAAAGGGGAAGAACTGGGATAGTTGGGGCTAAGGGAAGAATTCTTTTAACTTTCACAAGAGAAAGTAAGGAAGTGGGATTTGCTACAGGCTTCATTTCCTGGCCCTCTGCTTCTTTTTAGAAGATTAATGGAAATGCAAATGACTCACATTGTGGAAAGCCTCTTAAATGCATCCCTGACTAGTAAACAACCCCCCATCCTGATTCTTAGGCCTATCTAATTAAGGCTAGAATTGCACAAAACTTGGCTAAGCGTAACATGATAGGGTCAAGCTAACACAGTTTCTGTAAGAGAAAATGATGCCACTAATCTCCAACTCGTTGATCAAGTAGTAGCTAAATGTAATCGGATAGGCTTAGCTTACTTGGATATTCAAAAAGCTTTTGAAGTACCTCCATCAGACTAAAATGAAAAATAAAGTTTGAGTAAGTGCAAAGTCACATCATGGAAATCATATTGCGTGTCTTTGCTTAGGTCTGGAGAGATGGCAATAGTTCAATATTGGGATCGTTGTTAAATACAATAATTAATTATGTGGAGGAAGTTGCAGACAGTGATTAGAAGTTTACAGATAGCACAAATTTGCTTTAATTAATTAAAAAACACGGAGGGATTATGAGCAATCCACATTGGCACTTACAGCCACAGCTGCTCAAATGTGCTTTTAAATTGGAGGAACTTCTGAGGAAAAAGATTTGTCATTGTACATGGCACAGTGAAGTTGGTTTGTCAGTGTGGTGCACAAACAAATAGGAAATTTATATGCACAGAAGGGATAGCATCAAACAGGAGTGAGCACTTATCTGTGTGCCTGTGTCCAGTTGTTAGAAGGGATAGCATCAAACAGGAGTGAGCACTTATCTGTGTCCAGTTGTTGCCTGACTTGAAAGGTATGGCAGAGCCTGGAAGGACAATGCGTATTTGGTTACAAGTTTAGCAGATTTTTTTTATATGGGAAGAAATATATAAACAAGTCTATCTAGATACTTACACCATGCTCATTATTAGGATATCTGAGCTTCTGTGTTTTCTGGCTTCTTTCTGGAGTCTCTCTGTGAGACAATGTAACCTAATGGATAGAGACCAGGGCGGGAACTTGGGAGATTTACACTGTATTTCTGGCTCTTCCACTGACCTACCTATCTTCTGTACCTCAGTTTCCCCATCTGTAAAATGGGGATAATGATATTGCTGTCCTTTGAGCTTTGAGCTCTCTGAATGAAAAGTGCTAAATAAGAGCTATTATTATTTTCAGTTTGCTTAGTAATTAGCAATGCAGAGCTTCCTTAGGAAAATAGTCATTATATGTGCTTTTACCGACTCCTAGATCGTAGCAATCCAGCAAGGGAGAATTGAACACACAGCTCCTGGATGCATATTTTCAATACTCTTCCAAAATATTTTTAAAAAAATTAGGTCAAATGAGACTCCTTTTTTATTTGTCATAGGAAGCCTGGTAACAGAACAGTTTGAGAAATTCTAGTTGAATGTCTAGTGATTTTTTTTTTTTTAAATAAAAAAATAACCCTGTGGTCATGCACAGCACCTTTTACCCTTGGCTCTCTTAACACATCACAGACTTTAACCCTTAAACCCTTACACTAGAGAAGCTACCGAGGCTCGGCAAAAGTCAGTGTCTCTCTCCTTCTCTCTCTCTCTCTTCCCCACACCAATCATAGTATCTATTGGAAATTTAACCTGAAAATGTAGTGGAAAAAAGAACCAGAACTCACATTGAAACAAAAGACGGGGCTATGCAGCACTTTAAAGACTAACAAGATGGTTTATTAGGCTCATCACCTAATAAACCATCTTGTTAGTCTTTAAAGTGCTGCATAGTCCTGTCTTTTGTTTCAACTAGACCAGACTAACACGGCTGCATCTCTATCAGAACCCACATTGTGTGAGAGAGACCTATAGGATGACAGGAAGCAAATGTGCACTGCAGAGTGCATTGGTTGTCGTTCTTCTGTGTGCTTTTCACGGATTTTTGCACCTGATAGATCAGAATATGAATGTGGTTATTGGCTGTGCTGTCATCCATAGTGATTTGATCTGCAGGAGGCCAACAAGAAACCTCTGGGATCTGCTATAATATGTAAATGGATAATGAGCTCAGACATTTAGTCCTACCACACATCAATCTGCATTCCCCAAGGGCCTGACTTAAAGGTTTTCTACTTCCCCTGCCCTCAGTACTAAAATTTTATTTTTTTTGCTTATGTTGGGTTTTTTGCTTATGTATGTACCCGCTCCCTCCCCCCCCCCCACCGGGGCGCCCTCATTAGCCGCATGAGGGCCCAGATCCCAAGTTTTATTCTCAGCTTGTGAGTCACCAAAGGGGCTTACCCGCGTATCGGAGCCATACCCCTGAGCACGGGAGCCTCCCCCTCTTGAGCCAACGGTCCTTCCCGCATGACTATTGGCTAATGGACTGGAGTCCGCGCCCGCTTTGGGCAGCCCTTGTCCCAGCGTAAGCCAGAGTCCAGCCATGGGAGGGGAGGAAAACCAAAGGGTCTAAATCCGTGTCCTGCCTTTTCGTCTCTCTCAATAGTCACTTTTGGGTTGGGTAGGGGAACTCAGGCCCTCCCCTGCTCCCAAGCTCCAGGACCCTAAGGTAAGGTCAGGTAGATCTTACCTGAATGATGTGCCCCACGTTGGTCACTCACCACCCCTCTCGGGGGGGGGTTAGTCGCCATCCCATACGACACCCCCGTCCTGGAACCGCTTCCTATGAGCTTAGATGCTCCGCTGCCGAATATCCCTTCTGGAGGCGAGAGGCTGCCTCTCCAGTGCCGGTGGAGGAAACCCCCATTTGGGTGTCGGCTTCCTGGCCCCGACCACCAGGGTCTCTGGTGACCTGCCGCTGGGGCCGTCTGTCTCTCTTGCTGCTGCCTTCCTGCCCCTGGCGTCTTCGTCCATCTCCAAGGGCCAACCGGCACCGGCAGCTCCGGCGTCCCCGGCGGCTCCCACCACCCCAGCTGTCCCAGCACATCCAGCGGCTTCCTTCCCAGCTGTCCTAGCGCATCCAGCCACCACCTGTCTGGCCGCCCCACCGCATCTGGCTGCTTTCTCCCCGACTGCCCCAGTGCGTCCGGCAGCCCCTTCCCTGGCTTCCCCAGTGCATCCGGCGGCCCCTTCCCCGCTCAGCTGAGCTGGTGCTGCTTTTGAACGTGGCGCGCGGCTCAAGGCACATACACAACAGCGCCAGGGGTCTGCGCCGGCCAGATCCCAGGTCGGGAGATTCTGGCACTTCCGGTCCTGGGAGGAGGGACGGGCCCGGCCCGTCACATTGGTTGCCACTTGAGTGTTGTGAAGGGGACTTTCTGTTATTCCCACACTTCCCTGCTGAGGCGGGCATGTACTGTGTGTGTCTGCACCCTGACATTTTATGTTGTAGTTTAAAACCTTCATGATATTGTGCTAGTTAGCTTCCCCAGCTATGTCAGAAGAGTTCAGACCCCTCCTCCTCTCCTCTTTCCTCGAGATACTGCTCTTCCCACCTCATCTGCATCCTTCTGTGCCCAGCAGTTATGGGTGATAGGCCCACCCCCTCTTCACCATAGACGCCGCTTGTGCTGCACTTTGTTGTATCCCCAGCTGCTGGGTAAAGATGGAATCCCTGCCAAACACTGTGTCCCACTCCCTGGCTGGCTGGAGAAGCACTAGTTTTACCATGTGCTGTCACTGTTTAGAAAGCTTTGTGTTAAAACCTAGATTGTTACCGTGCCACCAGCTGTACTTAGCGCATTATAATTGATCTTGCATTCCAGATGTGAAGAAATGTAATGGAACAGCCTCACTGGGGAAGTACGAGAGAGCAATTATATGTAAAACACAGTCAAGTTTTCTTCTGTCTGTTAGTCATGCACAGGGAGACACAGGATACACACGCAGCACTGCTAAGGAGTAGGTTTTGGAACTGCATGAGTAATACTTAGTCACAGACACTTTCTCCCCTTTGTCCACACACTCTCCTCTGCTCACGTACTTTTTTAAAGCATTAGGATGTTCTCCGGGGTTGTCTTCCACACTGAGGAGAGAAGTAATGTTAGTGGTTCACAGACTATAGCAAAATACAGTCACTGGATTCTGAACTTTGCACATGCTGTTTGCTCCTCCCCGCTTTCTGGGAGACACTAGGCAACTACAGGAAAGATGCCTGGCAGCGCTCCTGATTTGGCTTCTGGTACCAGGAAGCAGCCCCTGCCTCTTGTAAGTTTTAACACAAGTGGGCTACAAAACCCGGAGTTTGGTGTTCCAGGTTCCCCCTTTTTGTTTCCTTCCAATTAGGGTATGGAGCTGGGGACAGCTCCTTGTTGCTTCCACTGCACTTACATTATGGATGGAACACCATAAAGGACTTGACAAGATGTCGTGACGGTGCACTGATCAACTAGGAGTGCACCCAGGAATCTGCAGATGCTGTAAAATGGTTTTCCACTTGACTTGAACATCACTTGATCTCATGAATAATTATGGCTGGCCCTTTTTAGAAGTTCAGCGTAGACCATGTTGCCCTATATTTTTAGAGTCTATGTGCTCCTGTTAGATGGTTTTCTCTAGACCGTGCTCACATTTCACGTTGTTGGAGGATCCTGACTAGATGAGTCCTTTTCAGAAAATAGTTACATTAGCAGTGTCTACAGATGTGCGTGTCTCTCACTCTCTCTCGCTCTCCTGTCTTAGTCCTCTGAAAGTGAATT